GGTAACATAAAATTGATTTCATTTGTGCACCCAATACACTTGGACTACTCTAATGAGTAGTACCTCAAAGCTAATGTCTGTATGGAACTTCCAAGAGTCGTACCTCTTAGGATAAATCCCCAAGTAAAGTCCATACATATGTTCAAATGGCCAAAGAACTAAACAATCAATTTAAGCATTCATCTGTATGTTAGTCTGTATACTAACTATACAATCTAGCCATTAATGCTTGTTCATTGGTCCGTACACGAATGCACAATAACTCTATATGAATGCAATTATACCATATAACTAACAATCAATCAATCATTCAACTACATAACTATAACTCCCAAAGAGCATGGTGAAACAACAAAAGGTATAAATCCCAAGGTCCAAGAGTTTACCTATTGAATTTAAGCTTTTGTAGCTTTTCCTTTAGCTCCTCAAAGTTACCACAAACTCAAGGCTACCAAAGCAATCTATTTAAATACAATGCCATCAATCATATTCATAATCATTATGAATCCATACTAGTAACAAGTAGAAATATCACCATTTAGCCAAAGATAATTTACAAAACATTGAATACTTCTTATACTTTAAAAACACGTAAGTCATTGACTTTTATTTGCAAGCTTAGGCCACTTACCTTTAGGTGATGGATAATCATATTGAAATTCTAAATCATGATGTGAGAAGTTATCTAACTCCTCTAGGGTCCTTTACCCTTGAAACATCAATTAATAGGGCATAGACTCCACAAGTCCCTCTACTAAAGAATAGTCAAAAGAAACGAACTATACCGTTATACTACATACTAGACAACCATTGCCATTTCTAAAATTAGGTTTACATCTATTTACCATTATTTTTAATATTTTACTATGTTTAATTAGACATCTCAAGTTTTCCAAAGACCTATTATAAACATCAATGGGATTTGTATATCTCAAGTTACGAGCGTCGCAAGCCAACTGCTTCGAACCGAATTCCCAAAAATAGGGAAGAAACTTAAAAATAAAATTAAGATTAATCCATTTATCCAAAGGTCCCAATATTTTGTATATTTGTAAGTCTTTAAGTTAGCTTTACATAGATGCAAGTTTCACTCAATTTGGAGCTTTCTACCTCAAGTTATGCCCATTTTACTATAGCGGCTATATGTTTTAGTGCGTTTAAGTGCCCTCCTCCAGGGCAGTTGCTCTGTTTTTTGCGCTGGAGCGCACTTAAGTACCCTCCACTAGCAGAAACACATTTTTTCATTGTTATAACAATTCTCTTGGTTTCCAAACCAAGTTTTCTCCTACCACCTAATTAATCTTTCCTTAATCCATTAAACTATGATTTATTTATCCAAAATACATTACATCATATATATAATTCAACCTTCAATTTCAACCATACATTTCCATGAACACAACTTTAGAGAACTTACCCCAATTCTTGAAAAATCCAAGAGTCAAGCTCTAATGCAACAATGAGTCCAAGGATGGTTCTTCCAACAAATCAACACCAATTATACATCAACCAAACATCAATTTCATTATTTATGGTTCAACACACCAAAAGCCATGGTTTCTTACCTCAAAGTTCTAAATAATGAAAAAGAAAGGACTTTCAAGTTTCAAAAATGAGAGAACTCCTTCCTTGTTCCAGCTCCATGTAGCATCCAACACAAGTGGAAAATAGTGAGTTTTCATGGTGGAAGGCTTGGGGTTTCTCTTGAAATTTGATGGAGGGGATGAATAGGTGATAACTTTTTGGTCTTTGGTCACCAATGAAAGAAGAAGAGAAATTATCTTCCTTGAAAGAAGAAGAAGATTGTGGGAGATGGTGAAGCAAAGAGAGGGATCGATGGAAAAGAAGAGAGCAGAAATAGAGAAAAGAGAATTATAAGTTTAAGAAATATCTCTCTTGCGAAAAGACTCTTTTGCCCCTAGTCACTCTCTCTTTTTAGCACTCAACCATTTGAGTTATTAAAATAAGGTTCTTGAGTTTATTGGGTTCAAATGGGGTGTGATACATGTCGTGTAAAATCGGCAAGTGCACTGATCGTACCAAGTAATAAAATGACGAGTAAAGATCGTCTCCACGAGGATTGAGGCACCGAAATTATTTTATCTATTCTTTTCTAGTTGGATGAATAAAAGTTGATTTGAGAATATTTGTGAATGTAAAAATTGAGAATTATTCAAAACTTGTGAACAATTCAAAGATGATTTTAAGAACTAGAAAATAAAAGATTAAGGTTGAGAAAATATTTTAAAAAAGACTATTGCGGTAAAAGACTCCAACACCTTTCTGATCCCCACCTTGCAATATTAATTAATGTTTACATTTAATTACCCATTGATCAAACAATTCACTATCTGTAATTGATTAGTTAAGCCCTAATTCCTTAGTGATCTTAACTTTATTAATCCTATTAGAATCCTAATCCCTTAGAAATTCCTTTTCAAGTTAATCCTTTTAAACCAGTGAATTTTCCACATTTGTAATTCATGTAGCCTATCCCTAGAGCATACATGAATTGTTATTTTACCCTTTGTCAGGAACTAGAATCTCAATATTCCTATTGAAAACTCTAACCCTCGCAATCTTAAAAGAGTGATCATTTCTAGAAGAATTAGAAGATGAAGAACAAGGTAAAATAAATGCAATTAAAATAATTAAATATAAAATTAACCAAGCTACAAGGGGTTCACATCAAGGGTTGTGACCCTTACCAAGACTAGCAAACATATTCATGTCTGACAATTCAATGTGTAGAAAAGAATTCATAAAATAAACTAATAACCAGAAAATTGGAGAAGAAGCTTGCTCTGCGTTCTGCCTCCGTCAATCTCTCTCTGTGCAAAAGTGTTTTTTCTCTTGAGGTCTGAGTCTCTATTTATAGAGTCTTTCACCTAGAATCTTGATTTAATCCTTGTCGTAATCTCAGTGTGATCTGCCTCTAATTTAAAACAGGATTTTGGTTGTTGATTTGTCCGCACCTCCCACGCCACTAGCGTGGTTCCCACGCAGTGAGCGTGGGATTTTTTTTCAGAATACTGGAGCACCACGCAACTAGCGTGGTTTCCACGCTAACAGCGTGGTTTGCATGAAGGTATGGCGCTACTAGCGTCAGTGCCACGCTAGTAGCGTGGAAGTTTCTATCTGATTTTGATCTCTAGCGCTACTAGCGTGAGTTCCACGCTAGTAGCATAGGTGTCTCTGTGTGAAAAGCTCTTTCCACGCTGCCAGCGCCATACCCACGCTCTCAGCGTGGGCCTTCAGTTTAGCATTTTCTTTTTTAGCTCCAGTTTGTCTGTTTTTCCTTCGAAATGAACATAAAATCAGTTGTGCAATCTCTGATTAAGATTTTAACAGATCAACAATAATTATTCCCTTTTTGCTTAAGATTAATCAACATTCTTTCTCTTTTTGGCTTAGATTTACCCATATGCTGAATGCATATCAAACAATTCCCAGATTTGAACGTTGCTGTCCTTAGCAATGTAATAGATCAAAGTTATAAGCAAAGAGTAATTCTGTGAGATCATGGAACACAACATCTTAAGAATTCAAACTGCTATGCATGTATAACTCTCTGTTTAAAAACTTCCAACAATGCTTGTCAGTTATATCAAGAATTCAAATCCTAACTTGAATATTCCTCACCAGTTTAAGTGTACTCTCATCACACTCGGTGTTTTGAGGGTTTCACACTCATTCCATCAGTGTAGTAGTAATTCCATAGGCTTGAACATCTATCTATATATATATAAAGGAGATATATATATATATATATAAAGGAGAGTTCAATGTTGGAAAGTTTTGCCAACTGTCACTCCCTGGTTAATTCTACAAATTGTATTCACACTACATGGCATATACAAACTTTCTTTATTGGGTAAATTGGGGGAAAAAATTCTTTTAAAAATCGAATTTTTATTTTTAAATCGAATAATTAAATTTTTACATTGAATAATTAAATGACCATTTGTGGTGGCAGACAAGGCATTGAATGTCCCACTGCCCATCACATTGGTATCCAAAAAGAAATCAACTGTTTTAATTGCTTTTTATGTTGGAATTGGTCGTCTGACCTAAAATTCGAAATTCGAAATGGTTTAAAATTTTGAATTTAAATATGGTTGGTGGGAAAAGAATTACTTTTAAAAATCAAATTTTAATTTTTGAATCGAATAATTAAATGACCATTTGTGGTGGTAGACAAGGCATTGAATGTCCTACTGCCCATCACATTGGTATCCAAAAAGAAATCAACTGTTTTAATTGTTTTTTATGTTGGAATTGGTCATCTTATCTAAAATTCGAAATTGTTTAAAATTTTGAATTTAAATATGGATAGTGGGAAAGAATTTCTTTTAAAAATCGAATTTTAATTTTTAAATCGATTAATTAAATGACCATTTGTGGTGGCAGACAAGGCATTGAATGTCCCACTGCCCATCACATTGGTATCCAAAAAGAAATCAACTGTTTTAATTGCTTTTTATGTTGGAATTGGTCATCTTATCTAAAATTCGAAATTCGAAATTGTTTAAAATTTTGAATTTAAATATGGATAGTGGGAAAGAATTTCTTTTAAAAATAGAATTTTAATTTTTAAATCAATTAATTAAATGACCATTTGTGGTGGCAGACAAGGCATTGAATGTCCCACTGCCCATCACATTGGTATCCAAAAAGAAATCAGCTGTTTTAATTGCTTTTTATGTTGGAATTGGTCGTCTGATCTAAAATTCAAAATTTGAAATGGTTTAAAATTTTGAATTTAAATATGGATGGTGGGAAAAGAATTTATTTTAAAAATCGAATTTTAATTTTTAAATCGAATAATTAAATGACCATTTTTAAATCGAATAGTGCATATTCGTGTATAAATAGGTATTTGGAACAACATATGTTCGTTTTCTGATCAGCTTCTTTGGGCACATTTGTAGCGTCTCTATTTCGTTCTTTTCTTTGTCCTCAAAGGCTTTGAGCCAATATTACCTCATATACGTTTGGTTATGTATTCCAAGTATGATTTTATTAAGGATCTTAATCCTACTAAGGAGGAGTGGAGGATTAAGGCTAGAGTTGTTAGAACATGGAAGGTTCCTAATTTTCAGCAAAAAAAATTTGACGATAACGTAGAGATGATTCTGTTAGATGAAAAGGTATTTGTTTTTGTTTTGTTTTTTATATTACTATTGGTTTGCGGTCCATTTTTTAAAAATGTACTAATCTATGCATGCGTTTTGTAGGGTGGAAAGGTCCACGCTGCTGTCAAGGGTTCTTTGCATATCCGTAAAAAAATTCACGAAGGAGAAGTTTATTGCATAAAAATTTTTGGAGTTGGTTTGAATAGTGGTAGTTTCAGGCCAACTAAGCATGATTATCCTTTGTCTTTCAACTTAAGGACTGATGTAAAATCCACTATTGAGTCTGCTATTCCCACCAATGGATTTGATTTTGTAGATTTTGACGTTATAGAGAAAGAGTCTTCTGATTCCCCTTATTTAGTAGGTTTGTAGATTTTGACCTGTTCATGCTGTAAGTCATGCTTTTGTTGTTTGTGTGACGATATCATCTGTCTAACCATCCTTAATGTGTAGATGTCATCGGTTTAGTCTCTGGAATAGGGGAAGTTCGTGAGCACATTATCTCCGGTAGGAAGACAAAAATGGTTGTCGTGGAGCATGATAACCTCAGGTATCTATTGGTTATTTGTTATGTGTTATGTTCATTTGATGTAAAATTCTATTTCGTGATTTGTTGCAAAAACTGTGCAAGTAGGGGTCACAAGCTCGAGTGCACTCTCTGGGAGGACTACGTGGACCAGGTGCAACAATTTTTGGGGAGTAATCAGTCTCCTCAAAACGTGATGATAGTTCAGCTTGCTAGAATAAAGGGTTTCAGGGGTGAGTTCACATAAATATTTGATTATGATTTCTTAATGGAATGTTTTAGTTTATTTCCCTCCTTATGTTTTTGAAATTAATAATAAATTTTAAAGGAAAAATTGGAATAACAAATACAAAGTATACGACGAGGATAATTATCGATCCCAGTGTACCAGAGATTGTCGACTTCAAAAAAAGGTGCGAGTTGCTGTTATTCCATTATTCTGCTCTTTTCTTTATTATTTATCGCTGATTATTTGTAATGTTGCTGTTTTTTAGGCTTTCGTCTGATGTCATTGATAGCGGTTACACGCTGTCTCAGTTATCAAGTCAGTCCTCATATTCTTTTGAGAATGATTTCCTGAAAGAGACGGAAAGAAAGTGTATCAGTGATGTTAAGAATTGTAGTGAGGTTACTACTTGCATTACTTATGGAACCATAAAATCGATTGAGAGCAAATATAATTGGTGGTACAAGTCCTGTAATAAATGTCCATATTCTGTTTGTGAAGATTTCGAGAAATGGTAGTGTAAAAACTGCCAAAAACATTTGGATGATTATTATCCAAAGTAAGATTTTATATCTATTTTTGTTGTTGTTATTATTAGATCGTTCGTTTTATTTATAAATAACACAATCGGTGGTCATGTGTTGCAGATTTTGTGTGCAGTTGAGAGTTGTGGATCACACTGATTCTGCATCTTTCATTCTGTTTGATAGAGATTGTGTCGCTTTGTTGGGCATGAGTGCTGCGGATTTACGTGAGCAGCATTTCAAAAGGGTTTGTGTTCTTATTCCACTCATTTTTTTATTCATTTAAAGTTCTGATTAAAATTTCATTAATATTTTTTTGCAGGGTGCTGATTTGGAGCACTATCCTAAGGAACTTAATGTTCTTATTGATAAATCCATGTTGTTTAAAGTGAATGTGAAAAAAAATAATTTGGACTCATACAGTGAGCCTAAGTAATAAAATGATGAGTAAAGATCGTCTCCACGAGGATTGAGGCACCAGAATTATTTTATCTATTCTTTTCTTGTTGGATGAATAAAAGTTGATTTGAGAATATTTGTGAATGTAAAAATTGAGAATTATTCAAAACTTGTGAACAATTCAAAGATGATTTTGAGAACTAGAAGATAAAAGATTAAGGTTGAGAAATTATTTTAAAAAAGACTATTGCGGTAAAAGACGCCAACACCTTTCTGATCCCCACCTTGCAATATTAATTAATGTTTACATTTAATTACCCATTGATCAAACAATTCACTATCTGTTAATTAATTAGTTAAGCCCTAATTCCTTAGTGATCTTAACTTTATTAACCCTATTAGAATCCTAATCCCTTAGAAATTCCTTTTCAAGTTAATCCTTTTAAACCAGTGAATTTTCCATGTTTGTAATTCATGTAGCCTATCCCTAGAGCATACATGAATTATTATTTTATCCTTTGTCAGGAACTAGAATCTCAATATTCCTATTGAAAACCCTAACCCTCGCAATCCTAAAAGAGTGATCATTTCTAGAAGAATTAGAAGATAAAGAACAAGGTAAAATAAATGCAATTGAAATAATTAAATATAGAATTAACCAAATTACAAGGGGTTCACATCAAGGGTTGTGACCCTTACCACAATAATAAAAGACTAGCCAGACATATTCATGTCTGACAATTCAATGTGTAGAAAAGAATTCATAAAATAAACTAATAACCAGAAAATTGGAGAAGAAGCTTGCTCTGCGTTCTGCCTCTGTCAATTTCTCTTTGTGCAAAAGTGTTTTGTCTCTTGAGGTCTGAGTCTCTATTTATAGAGTCTTTGACCTAGAATCTTGATTTAATCCTTGTCGTAATATCAGTGTGATCTGTCTCTGATTTAAAACAGGATTTGATTGTTGATTTGTCCGCACCTCCCACGCCACTAGCGTGGTTCCTACGCTGTGAGCGTGGGAGTTTTGTTCAGAATACTGGAGCACCACGCAACTAGCGTGGTTTACATGAAGGTATGGCGCTGCTAGCGTCAGTGCCACGCTAGTAGCGTGGAAGTTTCTGTCTGATTTTGATTGGTGCTACTAGCGTGAGTTCCACGCTAGTAGCGTGGGTGTCTCTGTGTGAAAAGCTCCTTCCACGCTGCCAGCGCCATACCCACGCTCTCAGCGTGGGCCTTCAGTTTAGCATTTTCCTTTTTAGCTCCAGCTTGTCTGTTTTTCCTACGAAATCAACATAAAATCAGTTGTGTAATCTATGATTGAGATTTTAACATATCAACAGTAATTATTGCCTTTTTGCTTAAGATTAATCAACATTCTTTCTCTTTTTGGCTTAGATTTACCCATATGCTGAATGCATATCAATACACACTTAATTTGTTTTAGGGTTCATACTAACTTGCATAATTATATTTTTATCCCAAAAATTTTAATATTTGCACTTTTATCCCGAAAAATGAATTAACTAGAAAATTAGATTTTTCATCTAATTAACCCTTTATAATTGCTAATTAGTCTTCATTAGCATAAATTAACTATGGGTTATATAAGAGTTATGTTGTAGGAAAAGTGATTATATCATGTTACTGAGATTCGTTTCCCGTGCTTTAGTTTTTTTTTTTGCTTTAAAAAATGCGGACCCCACAAAATGTTGTATGTGTAGAAAACTTTACCATGTCATGTTAAAGGACAAACAAAAACCCCATTAACTATTTGGGTTATTATAAACACTTACGTCAATATCAATCATCATTATAGTGTGCAATGAAGAGTATTTACCTTGTTGGTTCCGGATGGACTTAAAAAGGGGTGAATTGAGTTATATAAATATTTTCAATTTAAACCAACGCTAATTTTTTCATAATGAGTTTTACCAATAAAAAAAGGGAAAAATGTTTCCGCAGTTAATGCAGAGAAGTTATCTGCATTTATTTCCAAAACGACGTCGTTTTGGTATTAAAATCTTAAAAAATTATAAATATAAAGACTATTATAACCCTAAAATAAATTAAAATTATAAAAACACCATAATTTCCGTCCCAAAACGACGTCGTATTGGCTTACTGCAGATAACTTATCTGCAGTAACTGCAAAAAAAAACGAACCCATAAAAAAATAGCAAAGAGATAACACAAGAAATTTTGTGGGAAAAACTTTAAAAGGAGCAAAGAAAATCTATGACCCCAATTCAGATACCTTTGTCCAATTGGGAGATAAATATACTATAATGTGGTAAGCTTAATTCAAAGTACAATAATAGAAACTATTATATCCTTGTAGAAGAATTCACTCAAATCTACCTTAAGATTTAAGTACCCCAATTACCCAAATAAATTGTGCCCCAATTGTCAAACCTGCAACAATTGCTAAACACACTTTCAGCTTAACTCTAAGTCAAAAGTATAACTATCACTCGACATTTATTTCCTTATTACATACTCCAACATTAGCTAAATCAAAATCAACAATGAACAATTTAAGAATTACCTTACTCACTTCTAATCAATAAGCAAATAGGTACAAATCAAACCTAAAAGGTGTACTCAATGAATCTATTCATGCCTTGGTTGCCAAATTATCTTCAATGAATATGAAGAATTGCTCATAATAAATTTAATGCACTTTTCCTCTTGAACATTCACACACGCTTTGGAGAAAAACAGAATCAAAACTTTTAAATTAAATTTTCAAAAATTGACTTTCCAAAATTAAATAAAATAGATTCAAATCTTTCAAAAAGAATTTTTAATTTTAATTTTAATTTTTAAAATCCAAATCTAAATCTTAAAATTCTTTCTAGATTAAAATAAAACTTTTCTATCTCTCTTCCTTAGTTTTCAAAACTTTAAGATAATGTAACCCCAGGTATGATTATGATTTACCTGATCCAATCATTATGTAAGAATTTATCTTGCAATCTCAATCTTCATGATTTCATAACAATTTTGATGTTCATAATTTATCACAAATTAAAATATAGCAACAAACTTTAAAAAATTAAACAAATTGTTAGATAACTTGATTTCATTTATTTTTTATCATCAAAACTAGACAATGTGTGAGTCCTAACATACCTAATTGTATTTCTTATCTCGGTGTGAGGATGTAGACCCCTCTTTTATATGGTGGTTGTCATGAGTTTAAAAAGGTTTAAAGTCTAATTAGTACCTTATTTTTTGTATGCTAAAAGCTACTTTTAAGTTAAAGTTAAAGAGCTTTAAAAATAAAGCTGAAAACTATTTGATGATTATATACATTTTTTAGCTTAAATGTTACTTAAAAGTTCAAATTAAAAATAAGCTGATACAACTTAAAAAAAAGCTCCTCCTAGGAGCTATTGACTTTTTTCTTCATTATAAGAAAAAGATCTTTTCATTATTAGAGCTTTTGTAAAAACCTGTTTGCCCCAACTTCTGCTTACAAGAAGAGAAGCTAAAAAGAAAGACTTTCCGAACAGGCACTGGGAGGTGTTTAGTAGGAGGATTATATTTAGATTCCTGGGAAAGTGAGGGTGAGTTTCCTAGAATATCATGTTTGGTTCCACATTGGAGAAATTTTTTCCCGAAAAGTTAATTTTCCAGAATTCAATTTTGTGTGTACTTTTTAAACCAAAATACCATCGAAAATACCATCTATAAGGTGATATTCTTGAAACCCCAAACGATGGAAAAATACAGATTAATTTTTCAGACAAAAATAACTAAACATAATATCAGGAAAATTAACCCAATATTTTCGAGAATATTTTGGCCTATAAAATAATTTTTTGGTAACATTCCCCAAAAACTCACTTTTTACCATATTTTTTAAAATCGTAATTTCTGGATAAAAAAAAATTATCTTCTATCAAATGCCTCTGAAGGTTTTCCCATTAATTGTTGAGCTCAATGCTTAGTGGGCCTAAGTTGGATAATATATCTAAAACAATTATATTATGGGGTTTGCATTTGTCATTTAACATGACACAACAAACTTTCCTACACACACAACATTTTATGGAGCCCACACTTTTTGAAGAGAAAAGAAAAAAAAAGAAATTACGGCACGTAAAACGAATCTCTATAACATTACACAATCACTTTTCCTACAACATAACTCTTATAAAACCCTAATATTATATAAGTTTTCTAAGTAACTTCTTGTTTCCTCAAAATATCTTCATTGCTCTCGTATTAGTGAATACTCCGTACATCCTTGCTAAAATTAGAAAATAATCATTACGCTTAGTTTTATGATTAATGACATATGAGTTATATTTTTTCTTCTTATTTTTAATAAAGAAGTACCTATTCCTGTATCACTAAAAATATGCCCTTAGACATAAAAAAACGGGCAGTGTTAAAATGTGCCAATACCTCGACAAAACATACGCATTTAATCAATAACTTTTTAAAAAATTCTAATCGTATGTTTAACTAAATAAAATAAATGCGAATAAGTTGAAATTGTTTATAATTTGTGTTGAGTTAAAGTAATTATTGTCCAATTCTAAAATGATACTTGCTGACCCTAAAACTTTACCGGTTATTTGGCTTGACTTATAGTTAGTTTGAATGATTGAGACAGACCTAAATTGATATCTTTAACCAGAACTATATTTATATTTGCTAGAGAATTGCTCCTAACATGTGTGATTTATAGTGTGCAGTATGCACACAAATTTTTTTTTGTTTACGTATACCAATTCTTTGAGTCGGTTATGAGTAGATAATATATTATTTATATATAAAAAATATGTACTAATTAATAAGGAAAAATTAATATAAAGTTACGCTAAGAATGAATATTTAGTTTTAATGGATATAAATATTCAAATCGTCAAAAAAAGTCACATATTTTTTTAAGAAAGAAGGACTATTGAATGCTAATAGTGTCTATTTGTTTTCACTAATAATTATTTGATACTAAGTAAAATACTATATTGAAGGAAAAAAGTGTTTCTCCTATAAACAAGAGATAAAATTATTATTTTTTTTTGATAA